GTATTATTGTCAACATCTGAGAAAAATGAAGAGAATGCACCAAAGTTTAAATTTAACCTCAGCAGAAGTTTTCATAAGGAAAAAGAATGCTACCATTACATTTTCCCTATTTAGCTGGCTGCATTTTATTGCTTGATAAATTGGGCAATAACAGCCTTTTTTAAAAAAAGCCTTCCATCGTGACAACTTTAAAAAAAAATAGCTCTTCCTGTTTATCTGAAGGGGCCCATAAAAAGACTTATTGTGAGCGGTTCAATGACATAATTACTCATGATTGTGAAAAACCAACAAATAAGGATATGTATATTTTTTCCTGCTTCAGAATATTCAGGATTTTGGAGCGAAAGCTTTAAAGGAGCTACTTTATCTTGCAATAGGCTAAAGCTAGAGGAGATCAACCCCAACTGCTCTTTAGAAGGCCAGATCCTGAAGTTGAAACTCAAGTACTTTGGCCACCTAATGAGAAGGAAGGACTCACTGGAGAAGAGCCTAATGCTGGGAAAGATGGAGGGCAAGAGAAGAAGAAGGGGACGACAGAGAAGGAGGTGGCTGGATGGAGTCCCTGAAGCAGTAGGCATGAGCTTCAATGGACTCCAGAAGATGGTAGAGGACAGGAAGACCTGGAGGAACATTGTCCATGGGTTCGCGAAGGGTTGGACACGACTTTGCAACTAACAACAACAACAACGTGCTAAAGCTGATAATACATTCTAATATAGGGATGGTGAGGAACGACAAAAATTGTCTTTGGAATTCCCCAAACCTGGAAAGTAAGATGCTGAGCTTGTCACTGGAAGGATGGCAGTCGAGACCCAAGCACTGCATGACAGGGTGAGCTCCCCTTTTTGCCTCAGCACCTGCCCACCCAGAAGTTCAAAAGCATGCAAATGCAAGTAGATAAATAAGTACCACTTCGGTGGGAAGGTAAGTGTTCCGTGTGTCTTGGCAAACAGTCCTGCCAGCCACATGACCACAGAAACGTCTTCGGGCAACACTGGCTCCCTCGGCTAAGAAACGGAGATAACCACCACTTCCTAGAGTCGGATATGACTGGATAGGGCAGGGGTAGACAACCTTGGCTCTTTTATGACTCGTGGACTTCAACTCCCAGAATTCCTCAACCAGCATGGGGGAACTATGGCCCCTTCATGACTTGTGGACTTCAACTTCCAGAATTCCTCAGCCAGCATGGGGGAACTATGGCCCCCTCATGACTCGTGGACTTCAACTCCCAGAATTCCTGAGCCAGCATGGCTCAGCTTGGAAACTCTCCCTTTCCCCTCAGCATGGCTGACTCAGGAATTCTGGGAGTTGAAGTTCATGAGACATAAAAGAGCCAAGGATGCCTACCCCTGGGATAGGGGAAACCTTTACTTTTTAAACATATCTTAACATCAAATCTCTCTCTCGTACTCAGGTTTAGACATGTTATTCTGATTTAACTTGGCTATCACAAAGTGGGCCTCAACTCCCTAACCCACCAGGTATTTGATCCGCAGAATTAGAAGCTTATTAGATAAGGAGTTGTCACTTCCCACTTTACTGATGTTGTCTTCGGCTCAGTTGGGTAGATACTTGCCATCCCATGGACCAATAACACTCCATGTTTTACTCAACAGCCTACCTCTCTCCAGGAGATAGGTCTTTCACTTACTCATCCCATTCCATCCAGTCCAGGTCAAAGAAAGTGACTGGGGTTAATTTTTCTCAACCACCATGGTTGAGATAAAGCCAGGAGAATCCACCAATCACATTCCAGAAGATCCAATTCTGAAACTTTTAAGGCCACTCACCAGCCTTGTGACTAAGGCAGAATAGCGTTTAGTAGTCAGGATAGTAAATGTTATGCTAGCTCAAGAATTGGTGGGTTGTCTGGCTGAGCTGAGAGACCTTGAAACAGGACTGGAACCCTCTTAAGTATTCTGTACTTCAGTTCCCGCCAACTTTGACAGCAGTGACAAAAAATGGTGACAGTTCTATTAAAAACATCTGGAGGATGTGGTTAGGTTGTGTATTCCCAGTCCAAACACAACAAGCACCTCCTTGCAACCACTCAGAAGGGGAATGGGAAACTCGCTAGTCTCACATACACCGTTGTGGTTAATGATTATGGTGCTGGACTATGACCAAGGAGACTTGTGATCAAGTCCACCAACTGTCACAGAAACTCACTGGGTGTCTTGGAGCAGGTCCAACCTACCTCACAGTGTTCTTATGAGAATAAAAATACAGAATACAGAATAACAGAGTTGGAAGGATCAGAACAGAACAGAATAACAGCATTGGAAGGGAACTTGGAGGTCTTCTAGTCCAACCCCCTAAAACTGGAGAACAGAATATCATACACAGAGTTATGA